CTAGCCACTAATTTTTCAGAGATTAGTTGCGCTGTCCTGCTCTCTGCATTATTAAGCGGCAACATTCCTCTGTGCATTGCTGTCGTTTAATGACGCTGCGAGGCTGCAATGGTGTTGTTAATTACCTTATCGCTTTGCGCAGAAATGATTGAGAAATCACGCCTGCAATTCGGAATCTTTTCCACATGAGTGCCACTCTTGTGTTTGTCTGTCTGCCTGCCTGCCCTCAGTGTGCAAGCTGCACGTTCCTTCTTTGCTTAGTGTTTCTTGCTCAAATATTGTTATCCGTCCAGCTTCACCTTATCTATGTATGAACTGTGATTAATCGGAAATCCGATCCTTGCTTTGCTATTCTGTATTTATTGTCTTCCAGTTTTGTGTAATGTCAGCTCAGGTAATTTGGATTCCGTCACAGACGCATCCAGCAATGGCAGCTCAGTTGCAGCAACGGAACGAACGGTGTGGGATGCGTTGTACACGGGCTTGGGCTTGTAGGCAAGAATCAATAGGCCTAGCTCGTTGGACTTCCATGGCCCAAATTTGCATGAGATTTCTTCAGCGGCCCAAGAAGATCGGAAAGTTACCGGATCAGGCTTAAGCTTAACCCAAGTCTACGACAATTTGTCACTGTGGCCCACTCGACCAGCCCAAGCAGACCCACAGGATACTGTGATCCTCTTCTCTGAAAGTCTGAATCCAGCCTAGTATCTTTTTTCGAGAGGATAATGGCACGAGTTCTGCCTATTCATTAAAGGAGAAAGAAGCAGTTTCACGTACAGGGACATCTCCAAGAGGTGTCTTCAGATTTATGCACTGGAGGAGATTATAGCACTTTGAGAAAGTACAAAGCCACTAACAGCAAAAGTCGGCGTTTTATCATCTAAACGATTTGCGCTTCATCGAAGGCTTTGCACATGTTGAGTCAACCACATGTGACAATGACTATGCTGTACCATAGTCATTGTTAAAATTTCTAGCATTTCTTTGTAGCCAAATCCTCCATGTCGTGTAGATGAAAAGGCCATCAAAATTCTTTCTATGCTCTTTGATCATTTCTCCGGCAAGCTTCCCACCAATTCAGCCTAGTATCACGGTCACACCAACAGGAACACCAGTACACCACCAACACATTTTAGCACACAGGCTGACAGGCAGCCAGGGTCGAGAATTATTGTCTTTGCTGTGCACCCCCTACACGTGCTCGGTCACTATTCCAGAACGGAGGCAGTCCTTGACCGATACACAGTGGCCGTACCGCTCAAACACCTATGCATCCGATCTGCTCGCCTGGTAATTGTTAACCATGCTAGTAGACCATAACTTCCTGAGTTTGATCCCAGTTTAGCATTGACAAGGGTTGACTTGAAGTCTTGAAGTACACGCCCACTAACTAATGCTCTCTTCGTTTCATATATAAGTCGTGTTTTGATATTTTTTTACTAAACAAACTTATTTAAGTTTGATCAAATTTATAAAAAAATAATAACATCTATAACATCAAATTAGTTTTATTAAAACTAATAATGAATACATTATAATAATATATTTGTTTTGTGTTGAAAAATTAATGTTACTATATTTTTTCCAAAGCGACTTGTAAAATGAAACGAACTAGCTGGATGGCCTGCACAATTGCGCGGCTAGCACCTAAAAAAATCACATATTTTTTATATGATTTTACTTAAAATTTATTAGATAGCTATCTTATTGTCTTAAGACTTTGAAAGACCAACCCTTATCATCCTCGTATTTCTAGTTTTTAAAAGTCACACCAGTTGCTACCCCTTATGTCATCTCGTTCTTTATTTGCTTGCTCGATATACCACTATTTCTTTTTATTCTTCTTGGAACCTTTAAAAATTAGATTTTATAGTTTCTAGAGTTTATTGTCATGTTGGGTTTTATTTTTATAATTTTTAGATGTCCCGTCAAACGTTGCCATTATACTCATCTACGGCCCGTCTAATGTCTCTTCTCTTTATTGTCATTGAGATTTTAAAAATCGAACATAATTATTGTCTAGGTTCAATTTTACTTTCTAAAAGTCCCGCCAAACCGTCTATGGCTTTACCATTGTACTCCTCTATAGCTCGCCCGCTGCTTTCCTTCTTTATTGTCATTGAGATTTTAAAATCGAACATGATTATTAGTGTTTTTTTTTACTTTTTAGAAGTTTCGAACATTTAAAAATTGGACTTGTAGTTCCATTTTTTATATTTTTTAGAAGTCCCATCAAACGATGCCACTATGCCCCTCTACAGCCCGTCCGCCGTCTACTGTTTATTATCATTGTGATTCTAAAAATCGAACATAAATACCGTTGGAATTCATTTTTTATTTTCTATAAGTCCCGTCAGCCGTCGGCGGCTCTGCAACTATACTCTTGTGCACCCCGCCCGCTGCTTCTCCTTTTTATTGTCATTGAGATTTAAAAATCGAATATGATTATCAATGGGGTTTATTTTTTTTTTTTTACTTTCTAGAAGTCCCGGTAACCGCCTTACTCGTTTGCTTCACGGCCTGCCTGATGTCCCTCCTTTTAATCGTCATTAGGATTCTATTTGGTGTTTTATTAACAATTTTTATACGTCGTATCAACCGCCACCACTCTACTTTTTTATAGGCATGTTACTTAATTTATCTCATCATGTGTTTTAGATGGTCTCTTATTTCAATAATCTTTATTTTTATCAAAAATTTTAGTTATTTATAAATTGTATTCCTAATTGAAATCTTATTTTTCTTTTTCTAATTTCAGAATTTTTTTTAAAAAAATAGTTATTACCGTATTGTGTTCTTTTAATGTTTTTATTTTTTATTTTCAATTTCAGTTGTTTCAAAATTGTATTCCTACTTGAACTCTCTTTTAAATTTTCTAATTTTGGATATTATTTTATTTTTTATTCTAAATTTTAATTAATCTCGTATTGGTTCTTATATGGATTCTTCTTTCAATATTGCTTATTTTTAATTCCGAATTTCAGCTAATTTTAAACTATATTCCTACTTGAATTCTTCTTTTATTTTCTTTTGCTAATTTCGGATTTATTTATTTTTATTCCAAATTTTTATTAATCTCATATTGAGTTCTTATATGCACTCTTCTTTTAATATTCCTTATTAATCTCATATTTTTTTATTAATCTCATACTATGTCTATATGAATTATTCTTCTAATATTTCTTATTTTTTATTCCTAATTTCAGTTGTTCGTAAAATGTATTTTTACTTGAACTCTTATTGAACTCTTATATTTGATTTTTCTAGTTTCTAAATCTATTTTATTTTTTATTATGGATTTCAATTAATCTTTAATTGTGTTCTACATGAACTCTTCTTTCATTTTTTATTGTGTTATTTCAAAATCAAATAAAAATCCGTGCACATGCCATCATGCTATTCTGGTTGCTGACGTGTGCATCACCCAAATACGGCTCACTGTGCAGCCGCACGGCTTGACCCGCTGCTTCGGATTTCCGTCGCTCGCTGCTAGCATCTATCTTCATATCAACAAAAACGCATCCAAATTACTGTTCTATAGTGGTTCGTTGCCCGCTGCTTTATTTATATATGTGTATTATAGCCTAATTCATCTCTAACTCTGGTTAATTGGTTTAGGAAATCGGACAAAACTCTTTTGAGTCCGTTTGCATGTAAAGGTCCTAGCTAGAGATTGATTCTAATTCTACACGCGTACGGTACTCCGTATCTCTTAATTAACATGCCAAGTTTGTCTTAAATCTCAGACATTGAAATCTATGCCTCTTACAATCCAACGGTGTAAATAATTCATATTTTCTTCGATTAACGTGGGAATTTCTAGCCTCCACGGTGAACGTGGTGTCTTCTTTTCGAGCTGTCTTAATAATATAATAGATATTATCATTGAAGAATATTTAATCCATTATCTAGAAAATATAAACTACTGTTGAATAAACAGTTATCGGAAATATGCCACGTTAGTCCGTGCACACTCATCAACTACCCTTTTTCCAAATTCTCATAAAAAAAATTACACTAGAACACTTGGTTCGACAGACCGATCTATCTAATATAATGATATACAGTGGCAGTGTGCCCCTCAAACATGGTCTGCCAAAATGCCAACACCACTGTTACATTTGGGCAAGCACGGGCCGGCCGCTCGGCCGCGGGGTGATAGGGCGATCGACGTGCCGCAACGCAAGCCACACGCACACCAACCGTGTTCGTTTATCTCGTCGTACGGAGCAGATCAATCGAATAGCTCTGATTGACCGGAGCACGTACACTGTGCTGTCCGTCTGCCAAAGCTCGATCTTACATATCCATCTGACGGCCACGGCGAGACGGATATCGAGTGGATAGATGGATTCACGCGCCCACAAAGATCTGCGTGCCATCCGAGGCTAACCCACAAGTGGGGGGAATATAACATGGTGTTTGTCGGCCACTTTGGAGTCCTTTAATATTTTGCAGCATACTCCGTACTTGTACGAGTTGTTGATTTGATTCCTCTGCATCGGCACGCCGCCGAGGAGAAGAAAAAAAAGGCGAGGGTGCCGAGCATGCAACGCGATCGCCTTCTAGAGTCTTCTTCTGGATTAGTACGTACCGATCAACTACCGAGTACCACGTACATATCGCAAGTGCCAGAGGAAGGGATGGATGATGGATCGTCGTCTTTCATGCATGAAACTAATAATCAAGCAGACGTGTAATAGTGCTTAATTATTGAAGTCTTAATTAAGTACTAGTACTGATGTGTATGGTTCGTGTTTCGCGATCGTTTGAAGACGATCGATGTGGATGGAGACTGATCGCGATTTGGAGCGTAAACATCAACCGATCGATCGAGTTGAGGACAGTCTAGCTCGTTTCCTCGATCCGATGACGATCGATAATGAATGACGGGAAGCACCGCACGTATTGCAAGTAGGGTTTGACGACAATTAGTTGGTGAATGTCACGCATACAAGACCTAGGCTAGCTCCTCCTTTCACTAGTTGTCAAGTTGATACTTCTCGTCAAACATGACATGTCTATGAAAACATACATATAGCTTTAATTAGCTAGGATGGAGTAGTATCATACATTCATACACACACGCGCGGTTAATTAACACGGGGACAATTTACACAGGGATGATCTAATTACCTAGCGATGGGCACCTAGCTAGCTAGAGCTAGTTTTGTACATGACGGGGTGACGCAGTGAAAATGAAGGATTGATCCATCAGCTATGGTCCGTATTAGACCATAGCTCTTTAGCACAAGACGTCCTTGAGAAGCTTGTACCTACGGACAGCGCCGGCCTTGGAGACCCTCCGGCCGCCGCCGCCGCCGCCCTCCTGCTCGCCTCCGCCGGTCGACGCCGCCTGCTTGCTCCTGCCACGGTACTCCCTGGAGAACGGCTCCTCGTTCCCTTCCGACGATGGCCCCTTCTTCCCGGCGACGACGGCGGCGTCGCTGAGGCACCAGTCGCACACGCCGGCGCCCGCCTCCACCGGTGCCCCGTCGCCGTAGTAGTTGGTGCAGTAGCTGCATGCATGCATCCGTTGCCACGACGCGTCAGTTCTGATCACTATGTACCTACCTAGACGCCAGGAATCAATAGGGAGAGAGGTAGAAATTAACGAGGCAAATACGGAGGAGTGCGTACGAGTGCTGGAAGCGGCGGCGGCAGCGGGCGCAGCGGAAGAGCTTGTCCGGGAACCCCACGTCGCCGCACATGGAGCAGACGGTGCCGCCACTGGCCATGGCCATACCGAGACGGACGTACGTACTCAGGCGGCGGCGAGATAGCTGACTCGGCCGGCGAGGAGGAAGAGAGAGAGAGATGGAGGAGATCGTGGCGAGAGAAAGGAAGTGGCAGGATCGAATGGACGGAGAAGGGTTTTAATACGCTCCAGCTCCAGGGAGTGAGACCGAGAGTGAGTGTGACCGTGCAGACCGCGTGAGATATAGAGGAGAGAGAGATCGTGGGTGGATGGTGGTGGCAGAGTGGGCGGCTGGCACTTGGCTGCGTGATGCGTGGGGGGACCCTTCCCAGGTGCGCGGTTTTTGGTTGGACGAGGCGGGGGCCGACCGGGTTGGAGACGGGCCACGTGTCCATGTATACGTACGTACGTGTAGTGGATGTAGGGGAAAGGAGTGGCACAAGTAATCGCCGCGTCAGTTATCATATCTGTTGTTCAGAGCTGGAAGCTTTTAACGGCGTTTACCAGTACTGCGCACTACTCCCTCCGTCCCGGATGGGACTAAGAAGATTCGTAGTTCGACGTTGCTATCTTATGTGATGAGGAGAGTACCGCCGAAGATCGAAGGGTGGTTCAGATTAATTTCATTTTAAACCATGTTACTTTTTGTAAAGTTGTCAAAAATATATATATATATTTATTTTTTATCAATCTTTGATAAATACATAAGACCGTATCAAAACTTGATAATATTGTCAACTTACTAAAATTTTGGGTAAGATTTATTTTAGTTATAATGTGAACAATTCTAAAATCGCTTTCTCATGCAACCATGTAAATGTACATCAAATGACTCAAAACTTACGAACGACAACTTTTTCTACAGGGAGATAATTAACCACTGTAATATACGGAGAACATCGACGACGTGAACAAACAACGAGCTATACTAGCTAGCTAGTAGGCACCGTGCATAATTAACCTTCAGGAGAGATCGGAAACAGTTAATGCTATAGTAGATCGTACGTACGCTGGCTCTTGGCTGTAGCTCGATCGGTCGTTGGTGCCCAGGGGCCAGACGTCCGCGTACGATTAATCATATCGATCGATATCGTGCAGCACATTTATAAGCCGTCCGGTACTCCCCACATCGATCGATCGATCGTCGTCGCTGGAACAGCAGCTACTAGTAGGTCGGTTCGACCGTGTCCTTCACGTCCATGGACGGATCGAGTACGTCCGAGCTAGTCGAGTGATTTGTATACATGCAGGGGTCCCTGGCTAGCTAATCGCTTAGACCGGAAGAATCCTGTAGCCGCTTACCGGCCGCTCAAATTAATCATGGATGGAGACGTCGCACTTGACACACATACACAATATGCATGCACGCACGCACGCGTACGCACTGTACGCTCGCTGTAGAACCAGGAGATTATTAGTGATAGATGGATATCATACAATACACAGGGGGAGTAGGGGATCGATGAAGACGTACGGCAACCGCCGAGATCCATTGAACTGCGCCAGTGCAGACGCAGATACGGTGTATCATGTACACGCCGTGTGGGCGCCGGCCGTCGTCGCGACCACTGCTGCGGCATGTGTGCCGATCGATCGATTCTTGCGATGCACCTGCCGCACCGCCTGAATTTGTCCAAGCGAGTAATGTGCGAGGTACGGAGTACGGCCCATGCGTCGGCCATGGCACGTACGTACAGACACATGCAATGAAATGGTGTGATCAGCCATGATGAATGTATGGTGCTAATTAAGCTAGCTATACAAGGAGTACTACGTACTACTATACCAATGCAGAATTTCATTGGAGCAAGAATTTTTTTCAGGAATAATATGGACTGATTGGAACAATATTTTTTTTCTAGGGAAGCAGTGCAGTACATATTCTTGCATGTCAGGTCTAGCTCTGCCTTGCAATGCTGCAGCGCTACCTCATCGCTGCCTGCGTGGTTCCTCTTCGGAGGCAAAGGCAGCGAGAACGGGTGCTTCACTGCTTCGCCGCAGGCCTGTTTGTTCTTGGACGTTCTGGAAACCGGTTGATTCCACGCCACGCAAGTCTCGTCTGGATCGGATAAGGAAGCAGTCTCTTTTCAGAGAACTGATGCGCGCAGGATATCCTGCGCAGAAGAACGCTTGCACGTTGCAGTTGTCTCCACGTGCAGCTCTTGAACTCTTCAAGACCTGTTGCACTCTTGGTTCTTGAACCGAGAAACAGGTTATGAACTCTTGAAGACAGGTTGTACTACTCTTGAACAGATCGATCGACAAACAGGTTATGGGGATCCTTTTGAATTTCCTTTTCGATTCCATCTGAAAATTCTCACAACAATCAACTCTATCAACACATCAACTCCAGACCTCAGCAGTTCAGCAAATGCAACAGATGGAGTCTGAGAAGCTCAGATGACACAGAAGCACCACTACTGCACACTGCAACAGCGAAAGGAGATTACGCCCTCACGAGTCACAGGACCCCGCGACTTGTAGTGGTATGTCAGGACTATGGGGCATGGGCCATTGCCTGCCTAGCTTTCCTCCGATCCCAGTAGTGGTTCACAATCTGTGATCTGTGCAGCTTCTTCAACTCGCAAACTGTCTGTTCAGTGATCCCCTGATACCAGATATCTGGCATGTAGACCATATATTCAACGGTACGCAGACAGAGCACCGCATTGCAGCTGAACTGCTGAAGATTTATACTCACTCTCAAGGCACATTGCATTACCGGTTTCTCCCGCACATTAACTGATCACACCATCATCGCATCAAAGATGCAAATAGGAGTACAACACAAACAGTGCTTGCAACTATATTTGCATTGGTTTTGGAAGACTAGGATGCGTTATACCCGGTTTTTGGTTTTGGAAGACTAGCGATGCGTTATACCCGCTTTTGCGGTTCAGTGATATGATTTAAACTCGACCCTTAGACGAGAGACTTCAAGTGAACTTTCTTCCCTGATATATCTGTTTTCGACAGCCCATTACTGTTTCTTGGGCCAATAAGTTCCAGTTCTCTTCTTAAGGCCCATTAGACCACATCCGATAATATCTGGCCCAACATCTCCATCCCCTCCTCCAATGAAACCAAAAGGGTATCGTTCTTCCCGTGCCGCCGCCGCCGCCGCCGCTTCATCCCGACGCCGAAAGCCCGAAACCTAAACACCTCCTCTTCCTCGCACGCCCATCTCCGGATTCCAACCAAATCTCCGGGATGGCCTCGACCTGCTTCCGCGCCGCCGCCCGCATGGCCTCCTCCGCCTGCCGCTCGGCGGCCTCCCGCTCAATCCCCTCCGCCGCGCGGCGCGGCGCCCCTCGCATCTCCAGGTAACTTCCTCGGGGGGAGGCGCTGCTTGGTGTCTCTTGCTTTTTTTTTTTACCCTGAAACCGTGGGGTACCGGATCTGTGACGGAATGGCTTGTGGCTGTGGCGCGCAGGCTGCCGGTGGAGCTCGGGTGCAGCGCGGGGTTGTCGCTGCTGCCGCTGCACAGCGCGGTGGCGGCGGCGAGGCTGACGTCGCGGCTGAGCACGGCGTCGCGGAGCTGCTGCGCGCTCTCTCAGGGTACCCTCTGTCGCACCTATCCCGGACTTTAACATCAATCAATACCATCGATGAGATGCACTTGCCTGTCTTTTCCGTTTGGGTGAGAACCGTGCCCGTGCGTATTATTGTACCAGTACTTCATTTTCTTCGCCCGCTACTGGCGCAATTACTTGTTCATCTGCTGCTGTTTGTTTCGTCAATGTAATAGTTTTGCCCTCAACCAAGCGTTTTTGTGCTCAGCTCTCTTATTTGTGTGATTGATGTGTGACATAACTCTGTGCCGTTGTGAACATATAACGATTTCTATGCATACACTAATCATTTTCTCCTTTAGTGCACTAAAATAGTGTTGCATACATGATAGTGATACATCAACATTTTTACAGTACAATCCTTTTTTTCTTTGATGATCAACACACCATCACATCAATTTCATGTTGTATATAATAAGTCAAGAGATTCGCTTGTTAAGTTTTCTTTTTTTTTTTGATGAATTGAGGTCAATTGAGTAAGACATCTGGTTTCTGCAGGCACATGACTTGCTAGTTCTTGAAAGATTTTACCAGGAGCTTGCTGTTTTGCTTCACAATCATCGAGAATGAGTGCCTTAACATGTCAAATTGTAATCAAGACTAGCGTTATGTTTTTTAAGCTAGAATCTTAGCTGCCTATGTTGAGGGGCAACATGATGGAATAAAGTAACATCATTTTACATGTTTTGCGTAATAGTTGGCTGTTTGCCCAAGTCTATTTGTCTGTGAGATATTTAATACAATCTACGTAATTTTCCTATGGCATTTGCAATTTTTTCCTAGACTTTTCCTGTTTGCATGGATGCATGCTCGTTTGATTTTTTCTTTCAACAAAGAATTTTATAACATGGTTGCCATTTTAGTTTACAATATGATCATTCTTCTCTTCTCAGATGAAAGTGATGGTACGTGAAACATTTACGCAATGTCTTAAAGGTGGTGCTTGGCTGTTATGGCAATGCTGCACATGTATTACTGCGACATCCGCCTTAGTCATAGAATTTATGGTTTTGACACTCCGGATTTTGTAAAAGTTATTTTGGTAGTGTCAGGGATAAACATCAATGCTGTATGCTTCCACACTTATAAAGTTATAATGAAGCAATTGAGATATTCAAAGTTCTGATGTATGCTTTATTTGTGTTTATATAGAGATGGGTCAGTCTGTCCCAAGGTGATAAATGCTGGAAGACCTGCTCATGTCGTGCTATCAGACAATTGATTTTGTAGAGTGAACTAAATTGGTTTCTGTGTTGCCTGATTTTACCCCTCCTAGAACTGTGGTTCTGTTGGACCTTTCAAAGTTTTTGAGATAATGCCCCTTGATATCATTTGTTAAAAACAATCAAGGACATAATGCAAAAGCCCGAGCTGTATTTCTTAGTTACAATTCTGGGTGTCTTTCCTGTGATAATAATGATAAATGAGATGCAATTTACAAGTACTCAATTGTTGCTATGTTGTTTCGATGTATTTTTCTTTTTATACTGTTGTGAAATGTCAATGTGATGTGTGCAAAGCTGAACCTTAGTAGTTACGAGGTTCAGGAGTCAAGGACACTCCAGTGGTGACTGAACCATAGTTTGGCCGAATATGTCATCTGTTTGATGTTTGAATTATCCTTGACTCACAGTGTCTTGGATGTTGTCTCAATTCAGCATTTGAATTCTCAATGCGGCATTATGCTTGGAAAATTGAACTGTAAAATTATGGGAGGTGACGGGAGCCATCAGTCGTGGCACTTTTGACAGTTTGTAGCATTGTATTCCTGATGAATTTTGTGTGGTCTGTCTTGCCGCATTGCAGTTCGAAGGTGGTGCGACGTGAAGTGCTAGTGTCAGCTAAAGATTGTAAAAGTCCTATACACTAGAAATAGAAGAAAAGAAACGAAATGTGAAAATGCTTTGCTTTCAAGTCAACCTATGAGAACAGATTAATCAAACTCAGTTCGTTAATTCTAACACAAGAAATAGCAATCCTTCAGTTTTCCCAGTAACCCTCCTATTCTCCTAGGCATGAGGAGCAGAGAAACCCTGCTTGGTCACTCACGGTCTCACGCCAGTAAAGGCAGTAACCTCTTCGAGCAAGCCATGCTCACTTACTCATGGGTTCGCGCCTGCTTGCCACCGTTGCTGTGTCTGTTTGCCTTTGCTGCCGGCTGCTGCCGCTGCTGTTGTTGTTGGCTTGTTGCCGCTCTCCCGCCTGCAGCGCCTCGTGCGACGACGACGACTGCGGCGGCGGTCGCTGCTCCTGCACATAGGACGGCGTACCCGGCCTGAACTGACCCTGCCCCTGCCTCTCGCCGATGTTGCCACCGCCTTGCTGCGGTGGAAATCGCGGGAGATTTTGGTGTTGAGCACCAACCTGAGCCTGATGTGCGTCCCACCCTTGCTCTCTCCGGTTGCCCTGCTGCCGCGCCACCGGACGAGAAGAGCATGCCATGGCGGCGGCGAGAGTCCCAGACGCCGGGTGACCGTGCCCCGCAGGCCAGCCGTTGGGCGCCACGTGCGGCTGCCCCGGCGTCTCCAGCATTCGACCGGCTGCTGACAAGCCGACGGCGCCGCCTCTGCTCGAGCCGGGACGGCCGCCGCAGTTTGGCTGCTGCGGCCGCGGCATCCTCGCGAGGTTGCATTGTGTGCGCTGTGCCATCGCCGTCGCGGGGAGAGGCACCGCGAGCGGTGTCGACGGCATCGCGCGTGGCGTGGCCTCTGCATGCGGCACCGGCACTGCAACCGCTCGGTGTCGGTGACCTCCTGAACACGATGAGTTGCCGCACCGGTGGCCGCCGGCGGACTCGTTGGCTTGCCGCCACAGCTTACGGCACAGTGCCAGGTGATGATTGACCCGGTCGATCTGCCTTTTCAGCGACACTTTCAACATGAACAGCTCGAAGAACTCCTCGTTTTGCGAACGTAACTCCTTGTACACTACAATTCATAGTTTCATACATACATGTGCGCACGGTCAGGATGAACTGAATTTAGTTTATCTCAACTAGCTCGATCGATTTTGCAGATGTGAACGTTCATCCTACCAGCGTAGTAGATTACCGGATCGATCTTGCTCCTGCGAAATTGTCGGAACATTTGTCCCTTGGACAGCCGTGCTTCCAGGCACCTCGCAATCACGTCCTTCACCTGCATTGATCGTCAATTTATCACACATTTGCGAGGTCGATAGCATCATCGGCGGCTCGGCCAGGGGCGGGTCTACAGTGTAACGGCCGGTGTCAAGCGACACCGACGAATTTTGGCAAAACGTATAGTTAAATTGCTTATCCATATATTATAGCACTATGATTTAAGCATAATTAGCATACTATGACACCAGTAGATACGTTATGACACCAACGAATCAATTTTCTGGATCCACCACTGGCTCGGCGAGCCGTCAGCGCAAACAACATATATTTGTAAATGAAAAAAAAAAATATGTGAATAAAACTTGTATATACGTATTCTTAACAATCTAAAAATAAAGACTACGATGAAAAGAAATCCTAAAAATTAAATTTAATTTTTGGCTAATAAACTTAAGCATAAGTGAAAAGATATCTCTTATTCTTGCCTTGCTTACATGTTGGAGAATTTCTTCCGTATCGTCTACAGGTGCCGTGGCATCATCTTCCGCCGGATTTTGATCCGCGCCGCTTGCGCTTGGCATCGCCGTCGCCGGTTATTCGCTGCAGCGGTGGACACAACGCAGTGCATTCGTTACCCCACGATGTTACACCTTCTAGCTTAATTAGCTAGCCGAAGATGGCGCTCCGGTGGAAGGAGGGCGGCTTCGTTCCCAGCGCCGGAGAAGAGAGAGAGGCCTCGCTCGCGGCGGAGCTTGTTGGAGTTGGGATTCTGGAACGGAGAGACCGCGAGGCGAGATGAGCGCTATCGCGTCTTCTTTAACATGTCAAGAGCGCTCGTGCAGAGACGGGTCATCACGCGCGCGGGAGTCGGTAGCACACGTCTACGGCTGCAACACGAGTGGCCTCCCCGAATATTCTGGTACTGTGGTCTGACGGTTACTAGTAGAATATTTCACAATCTTTAATAGATTATAAACGCGTAATTTATCTCTGAACGGAGTATTCTTTTTTTCTTCTGGACTTGCAAACCTGAGCGCATTGGAATAGTTGATAATGCACTGGAATTGTTCTGGTTGCAGTTACTTGGACAAACAAATACTTCTAGAAACCTTGTAAAAAAAAAGTCGCATCACTGTAAACAAATCATTAAATCAAACAACGAACAGGAATTAACAGCATGGAAAAGGAGAGCATATAGGGATTATCAGATCATACCAAAACAAGAAACTTGTCAGTTTGCCACTGTACATGTACATCCAAATCCTACTGGGGAAATAATGTTGTGCCTGAGAACAGTACTTGAAACCACAACAGAAGGGAAAGTACTATAATTTGGCCCTGACTGTTCGTGTCATGTTTAAGAACAGTGTTCAAATGCCAATCAGGTATACAGCCTGAAACTTCTATCATCTAAGGACGACAAACCACTGCTATTATATACAACAAATTTTCTGATTTCAGTAGTTGGCACTGCTTCTGAGTACTGACAGCATGTGCGCTCATTTTAGTCTCTCCGTGCTGGCATCTCGGCAAGAGGTTTCAAAACAATCGGCTTGCTTGGATCTACCACAAGTGAAGAACTCGTTTACAGAAAAGCCAGTGACCAGGGGAGCTTTCCTGTCCTAGACATCTTCACCATTGCTCTCTCAACACTAGCTATCTGATTGTCGGTTGCTGCATGCTCCTTGATTTTCTTCTTATCAGCTTTCTTTTGTGCATCTTTTATTGCCTTTTGCATCTTCTCTGCTGCTCTCGCTCTCTTCTTCTCCAACTTGATCTGTTTCCAGTTGAGGCACAAAACCAACAAAGTGTCAAACGACAACTCTGACTATATCCCAAATTAAAATAAAAGATAATCAATGCAGTGGGCATACGAAGCATACCTCAATTCTTTTCATCTTCTCCTTTGCCTGTGTAACCTGATTCATCTGCCATTCATCGATATCGGCCTCTTTCCTTCTCAGCCTAATCGAATTAAATAACATCATAACTCAATGAGTTCGAAATATAACCTTACGGGCACAAACAAATCTAAATGTCATATAAACTTAATCAATGACAGCATTTTGTAGGCTATGGATTATGAAGATCGAATATTCAATAAACTAGACAATCACAACTCACAAGCATTCATGTTTGCAGTAGTAATTGATAATGGCTTCAATTCTAATATAAGGCTCAAGAGATATAATGCTACATTTTAATCAGCTAATAAGCAATAATTTTCTACAAGTGTCAGTCCAGAAGTTATGACTGAGAGATCAGAAGATGTGGATTACTTGTCTATGAGCTTTTCAATCTCCGCATTCTTCCAGGCAACCAACTTGGCGTGGACAAAATTTTCCTTATGTTTTACCGCAGAACCCTGGGGCCATCTCCCCATTCTTTGCACTGCAACTGGGCTATTTTCGCCATCTGAATGGTTAAACGCACCGCCATTATGATCACTTCCCTCATAGGCACCACCAGCCTCAAAGTTCCAATCACGAGCTGCAGATGAAAGAATTGTCATAAAAAATATTTTTCAGAACTGACGAGACTCATGAGATTTAGATCAGTACCTGAGGATATACGAGAAGACAGAGTATCAGCCTGCCAATCCGTTTGATCCACTGCTTCATCCTCTTCTTCACTGACTTTGGGCAATCTCCATTCATTGATAGCATCCATTGCCCCCAAACGCCTACGGTAATTATGTGAGGAGCGAGCTCGGCGCATCAATCTAGCTGGCGTGGCCTTGTGGATGAATCTTGGTGGCACTGGATTAGTTCTCTCAACTGCATGTTTTCAAGCGCATTCAATAAATGATGCGATGCAAGAAAAAGTCAAGTTAATCTATGGAGGGAGGCAGCAGAAGTAATCACATCTCCTATCCAGAAGGGAAGGTTGTCTGGGCGTTTGCAGTCTGATGTGTCGTGGTGTGGTAGACGGATTTATGAAATCTCCTCTGTTTGGCAGCCTTTCTTGGTCTTCTTCCTGCAGATGATTGGCTTCTTAACATTTCCAAATCACGTATGGGAAATGAAAAAATCAAACCGGCAGATAGTACAACTAAATGGATACAACCAAAAGCTACTTGTAATAATTCTATATGGACCCAGACAGAGAATTATCCAAATTTAGTTTGATCGTGTGGAAAACATGTAATAACATAACAAACAAAATGACTGAGCTAAGAATTCTCTAGTTTTTGGCTATTTCAAGATTCAGAAAGCAGAAATGTAACAGCAAACCAAGATTGTCAATACCCTTACTGCTTTGATATTTGAATCGATCAAAGGTCACAAATCAAATCCAGGAACATTGATAAATCTTGCATTGAGGCACTAGACCAATGGTTAAACTGGAGGCGTTTGTTCCTGTAAACCATGCAAGAAACTGAACAACCTCATCCAAGAAACCACCTTCCTCCAAAGAACTAACGCAAGAAGTCGGCGAAGTTTTCCACAATTCAATAGTTACAAGCTACGCAAGAATGGGAAATTAAGACCAAAGGCAGCAAAAAAATCAAGAACCTTCAGGACTGCGCCTCCCCCTGGAAAAAGAACACGGAAACTAACCAGCCGTGGCGTGACGAACGAGGAGGCGTCATCACCGTCGCGGCAGCCCTCCCCTCCATTGCTGCTCACGGGGCTGCAGATTGGGGACGGCGAGGCGGGGCGGTGGTCGGTGAGCGACCCGGCGCTCCACGCGGCGCAGCTGCCGTAGGAAGACGCCGGGCGGCGGCCGTAGGGCCCCCCGCGGCCGCCCATGGCGGCCATCGCGAGCAGCATCTGCGTGCTCCTCCCGACGGACGCCTCCGGCTCGGCCTCGGTGTCGGCGGCGTAGAACGCGGCGCCCTCGGAGGCGTCGGAGCGGGCGGGGGACGAGCCCGGCGAGACGCGGGACGCCGCGGTGGGCTCCGCGACGCAGGGGATCGGGATCGGGATCGCGGCGGCGGCCGCCATCTTCTCGCCGTTCTTCTTGCCCTCTTCCGGTGGCGGTGCCCTCCCCTTGATTTCTAGAGAGGAAGCAAACGTTAGTCGCGGAGCGCGCGAGGAAGTTGTGTATTTAGACTTGAGAGTTGAGAGAGAGGGGATGCCTTCTGACTGGTGGGCCAGGTTCTTGTACTAACCTTCACTGACATGCGGGCCCGGTTCGTAGATAGCTGTGCACCGGCATCAGTTCGCTGCCCTTTTCCCTTCATCTCCCGTTCTCTTAACTGAACCAGCACTAAAATTAGAAGCACCACATGAACATTCAAGAAGCAGGATATCATCTGACAATATGAATACATCATTTGCGATGGTATGTGCAGCGAACACAAATTTTCTGTTGGCTCTACTGTTAGTCAGGAACTAACAAGTTCTGCCATAACTTATGAAACAATATTCCGTGCCATGTGTGGCTTTTAGCTTGCTACAACTCCGGCGCAAAGACAAATTTGCACCTCAATTGAGTTTTCATACTGTAAACTTGTGGGTATAGGGGAATTGGCAAGGCGCCTTTTGCCCTAAGTTGGAAGAATTTGTAACAACTTCTAAGATCAAGAATATTCCAGGAGCACGCAGAGCTTCTGGACTTGCAATCCTACTAAGCAGCAACACCTGTTGAATAGTTCAGCATCGTCCCTTTGACTCGTTGATGGCCTGGTAAGATCTGCTGCAAGAAAAGTTCAATCCATAGACAGATGAAGCGCAGCTCAGGGGAATGGAGCACCAAGGTGATCAGACTTCATACCCTTTTGCAAAGCACCCTGCCCTTCTTTCCCATTCCAGTGCCAGCGAGGCTTGCAGCGAGACGTGACTTGTTGTCAGGTCTCCACTTAAGCTCTTTGAAAGTGGAGAAAAGCTCTGAGAGGGCAGGGCTGATTTCCTCATCTTTGATTTTATCACAAGAGACAACTTTTAGGCTCTGCAGATCACTCCATGAGGTTATCACCGATTCTAGACCTCGAGTTGTCAGTTGTGAGCAACCTTCTAAGGAGAGGAACTTAACTCTCCTGAAAAACAAAGAGAACGCAGCAGACATAAGTCAAGATCCTGAATTAAGCCAAGAAACACTTTCCACGAAAAATGTAGGTTGTGGACCATATCTAGGTATGTAAAATGGCTCACCATTTCCAGAAGAACAAAACATTATTACAATACTATTGCCAGTGAAAATATATAGTAAGTATTTGCTAAAGCGTTTTGAGAGGAAACTATTGAAATATCCAGATGAAAATTTGAGATGGTCGTCGTGCTACTGTGGAAGTGTGGATGAAGGTAAAACATGGTTTTAGCCTGTAGGTAATCTGATGTCAACTCTAAGAATTCCAGTTACACGAATGCATCTGATTTAGAGCTTTAGAGGTTATTCGTTCATTTTATTCCACTAATTCATTGCAGTAGATTGCTGCCATATTCACACAAAAAATGATAATATGCCACAATCGATGGCATATAAGCAAATAATGGGTCAGAAGAAACTGAAAATTATTCCACGTATATAAAGAAACTACCTACCCTAGTTAGCCCTGGCACTTCCAATGCAAATCTTGGCATTGATCAGTACTAGTAACAGTTATAAGACTCTAGTCCAGGGAAAAACAAATACAGGGAAGTGTAGGCGGATAACATTTACGCATCATAAATAACTACATTTAGTAGCCCAAAGAACTACATCAAAAGACTCTACCGAGACACTGTCAATTTGTTGGCCCTTTTAGAACAAGTAATCCTTTACTGCATAGTTTGGCAGAAGATCCATGAGCAAAAATGCAAATATCCTCCAACGAATATTCCATAACATCAATCCACGGTTTGTGATGGAAGAATCGGCATGGCAATAGGTGGTAGTGGTTTATGGTGAATCTGACACCACCCCACCACTGCCTATTGTCTGTGAAGAAAAAAAACGTAGAGAGCATGGCATGGGGCAAAAGGATATGTCAACAATAATTTATTTCTACTACATACATTGCAATTTTTTTTTTTAATTCCATAACAAAGTATGGGCACTCAGCTAGTCTTTACTGAATCCATTTGCTCAGGTAGTGGTGCACGGTTTGTGTTCGAAGAATTGAAGCGACCTACATCTTTATGAAATCCATCGCTCAGACATCTAAGTCATGGTTTGCATTTTTACCAGTCACAATTATCTGGACACAAAAGGAGAAAGTGCACGAGGGGCTAGATAACGCACATCCTAAAATGGCAATATAGTGAATAACACAAACAGCATGTGACTTGCTCAACACAAGAGGAAGAATAAAAGTGATTATGACAAACAATATAACGCAAATACACAATTATGGAATACTTTCACTTGAACACATCTGTAATAAATAATTGCATCTTTTCCAAGCAATCATATGCTAAAACAACCAAAAATGACAATGTTAGCCAAACATGCAGTATACTGAACAGAGGTTGACTAGATTATGGAGCTTATCAAAGCTCACACAGACATAATCAGTAGACAAAAGGAATAATGATGGAGGCTATCTAAGTGAGGTTTTTACGACACTACCGAATAATAAATTTTGCGCCCTCAAGTCCCATGATAACTGTTATTTAATTAATTACCACAGAAGCAATAGTGGCATACTGACTCCAAACATGGAGGGGTCCATGCATTGCAATTTGCAAGCATTATATCTCCTGACACTAAACCAGGGTCAGAACAACCAATCATCAGTTACCTACGACTACTTCAATTGGCAGCAAGTCACTATCACAGTCTGACAGATCAAATATAAAGCAGGAATAACTAAACAATCAAAGTTCAAATACACAATCTGCCCACATTGTGCGATCATTGTAATATATCAACAACCTAGATTGAAAAATGAGATTGGTGATTACTATACCTGCACAGTCCTGCCATGGCAAACATGTCATCTTCAAGGCCCCAGCAATTCTGGACCAATAACTCACGGGCACCCTCACAAACCAAAAGGAGAGCATGGAGGGCACGACGGTCACGCAGCTGGCACTGCTGAAGCTGCAGGCTCTCAAGCGTGAGGCAGGCACCAAGATGCTCCGCAGGCCCAGGATCGTCATCAATCCTGCAACATCCTTGCAACCTTAGGGTTTTGAGGTTGCCGCAGAAAGCGAGCGCAGCAAGCCACCCATTGTCCATCTTGTGGTTGGCGATGGTGAGCTCCTCAAGCATCGCACAGCACCGCCCCACAGCCGCGATGCCGTCATAGCTTCCCTCGCAACCAACAAGCTCCAGCTTCACTAATCTCTTGCATCCATGAGCAAGGATGGTGAGGCCGATGTCGGTGACACCACCATCTTCACTGGTGCCATATAACGCAGAGGAGGCTGCGACAAGGCGGAGGATCTGAAGATGCGCAAAGGCGGAGACTGGGCGGAGGGCGAGGTCGGTGCATCGGTGGAGCTCGAGCTCTTGCAAAGTTGCGCAGCCGCCAGCGATATCCATCAGACCCCCGGACTCCGAGGCGGCTGTGGCTGAGAGGCGGCGGAGGTTGGGGAAACTGGCGGCAACGGCAACAAGGCCCCTGTCGAGCACGTCATCTGCGAGGAAACGGCAGGCGACGAGCGGCGGGTCCGCGCCGGTGTCTAGGGTTAGCGACACCTCGGCGCAGGTGAGGAGAGGGGAGGTCGGGGACGGCACGGCCGGAGCGACAATGGACGCCGGGAACAGGTCGAGGTCCGCCAGTTCGGGGAAGCGGTGGTGTAGGCGGTGGGTCACAAAGGCCCAGTCCCTGACGACGAGGCGGCGGCGCAGGCGCCCCGCGAGGCGCATCCACCTCCTGCAGACCAGCGACGCGGCGCCCGTGAGGTGGGGCTCCGGGAGGCAGGCGAGGACGCGGAGGAGGAGCCCGTCCGAGAACTCTAGGGTTTGGTCCGGCGGCGCCACCGCCGCGGGCCGCGCCTGCTGCTGCTGCTTCTCCACCGGCGGCGGCGGCGGCGTCGTCATCTTCTTCCCGGACAGCGACCGCAGGTCAGGCCACCCCTTGAGGCCGTCGCGGTGCAGGCCCCGGCCACCGAGGACGCCGACCTCGGGCTCAGGCATTCACCGCGAACGGCGGCGCAGGGCCCCGCGTAGCCCCGGCCGCGCCGCGAGAGGAGAAGCCCCCGCAGTGCGGCCGGGCGCGGCGTCGGTCCGATTCGGGAGAGATTCCGGCGTGGTAGTGCGGCCGTGAGGGGATCTGAGGACTTTCCTTTTTTTTTTTTCAAAATTTTTGGGGGGGTTTGGGATTTGGAAATTTGCCTCGCCCCTCGCTGCTGGAGGAGCGGGATAAGAGAGAGGGTGGAGCGGAGGAGCCGTGGGGCCGAGCGGTGGTGGGGGCAAACGCTTTGAAATCCTTTCCTTGTCTCCGTGTGCAAGGTAGTATAGCGTTCGTTTTGGCTCCTTGCGCCGTTGCGCGGCCCCGCTGTGCACGGTGGAGGATTTTCTCGAGAGTTTTCCTTTTTTTTGCTTGTGTCTTGGCGGAGAGTTTTGATGGCTCGTTTGTTTCTTCTGTTCTTGAGCGACGTGATCCGGGTTGTTTTACTCGGCACGGTTTCGTCTCTGCGTGAGGGATGAACAGTTCCGTTTTAATGGAGGCACGTACGGTACGTGAGGTTTGTTGGGTGTCCCGTGTACCGCGTCATTAGGTTGTGTTCTCTTTACGTAGAAAAGAGGCTCGGATCATTTACCTAGGCTCTTAAGTGTTTCTGTAATAATGGATCGAAGGACAATTAACGCCGTCTGGGCGGATCCGTCCAAAACCAGGCTGTTGCCTTTGCCTGAACTAATTGGCGGATCCCATTGTGAACCTCCATCAAAATACAGTAATGTAGGATGAAATTAGATCACGTTAATACTATAAATAGATAAAGGTATATTCATATTTGTAGTATTACGATGGATTTCTATTGCATCTTGTAGTTTTCGCTGTTTCATAACATTTTTTTTAAGAGCAATGCTACACGTACTAAATTTTTCTTACTAAATTTTTACTAACAATCATCTCAACCATTTGATTTAAGTAGATGGAAGTTACAAAAAATCTAGATGCACTCATAGCATGACACATCAGTGTTAGTAAGAATTTAGTAAGAAAAAGTTAGTATGTATAGCCTTTTCCTTTTTTTAATTATTTGTACATCATTGTAGGATAAAGTTTGGTACTACTGTTTGCAATATCGATGGTCATTTGTATATATTTTTTGTGCGTCTAGAATGTTACAAGGTCTACTGCTGTTTATACATATTACCATTGCCTTGTAACCGATAAAGATCTCATAGCATTTCTAAAAGTCTCCTCAAATCTTGCTCTTCAAATATCTATATATCAAGATAGCCAAAACGATAGATTTCTAAATTTCATACGTACTCAACAGTTTTTCCATATTCTACTCTCCAAAATTCATAGGTTTCATATGTTAGTGTCTCTTGTCCCCTCCTTCACTCTCTTTTGTTAGGCATTTGTAGGCATTCTCATCCTTTGGTAGGTGTGGAGCCCACCAAGAGCCAACCACTATGATTTACCAAGTTCGGCCAACAAGAGAAGACATTTGGCATTTTGACAAGTTAAATGGTTTATCAAGCAATATGTTTTTTTTATTTGCTACAAATTTAGCAAAGAGAGCTAAATGGTAAAGCTCTTGGAGATGATCCTAGACATCTATGGTATGTGAAACATACACGAATGTACCATAGCTAAAATTAATGCTCAAGGAGACGGGAAATAATCTCTAAAAATGAGAATAAAGTGATAAACCTAAATGAGGTTGAACGAGTGGGCCGGTTAAAAATTATTCCGTTAGATAAGCCCTTTATCTATCCGCGCATACTACTTGGGAATAAGTCCACTTACTGGCTAGCCTCGAGCTCCCGCCGCCATCGTCAAAGCTCCACCTCAAAGCTCTAGGAAGTCCTCCCCTCCGCGTGGTGACCCATTTGCTTCCCCGTTGGTCTCCCCTCTTTGCCTCCTGGCGCTCCACCAGCCCTTGTCGACGTATGACACCCTACGACCCTCATCGATGCCATCGGCCCCTCTCAACGTCGTCACGGCATTGGCATGCCGGCTGCCCTCACCAAGCTCCGACTCCAACTCCGTTGTGGGAGGCCATGTAGAGGAGGGAGAGAGAAAGGGAAGGGGGAGTGAGGATGCCACCACGTGGAGGTCGCTTTTATTTTTGCCACGCAAATGCCTAGTCAATACGAGTAGATTGGGTTAACTTGTCACGTTAGCAAAATCAACCATCTATACTATTGTCACGCCCCGGACTAGTACCGACCGGAACTAGCCCGTGACGCTCCAAATTAACCTGTTAATCGATACCAGTCCCAGGAAACAGTGCTGGTATCACAGGAAGACAGATTATCACAGCAACAGAGGTCTCTTTATTATAGAGTAGAGGTACAGTCATGTTGGGCTGTGGACAGATCCCGAGCTCACAATTGCATTACAAAAGGGAAACGGAAGCCAGGACTTGGACCAAACAACACAGGCGCGACTTGGGAACTAGGCCGAAACCCTAAAACTCATCGTAGCCGGCTTGCTCCTGGAAGAACTCCTCATCAGCAGGATCCGCTTCATCTTCTTCAGCAACTGGGGGGGGATTATTTATATAGAGCAAGGGTGAGTACGGGAGTACTCAGCAAGCCATGGGAAATAAGTGTTTAATGCAGGCTTCAAGGAAAGGCTGTTGTTTTTGCAATTGATTTTATTTGAACTCTTTTCTAAAAACAACTAGGTGAGTGCTTCTCAAACGACACGGATGAGACAGTGCGTCTCGTCCGGTCGGAGTATGTGCAATGCATCAGTCTTTAGAATTGATTCAAGGTTGGCACCCGGCCAACAGCTTTTCAAACGGCCACCCGGGCCAACAACTTTCAAACGGCCACCCGGGCCTAGCTGATCCCGTCAGCTGCAGATTTTTCAAACATCGAACCCCTTTCCACAACAGCAATTTCACAAGCAGTAGTCAAACAAAACTACGCTAGGAATCACCTCACATCCGCCCATGACCATGGGCACGGCTGTTCGAACAGTTTGTTAACCTCTGCAGAGGGGGTACACTTTACCCACACGACATTACTAACCCGGATCACCCAGCCCGTGGGGATCAGCCACGTTGGGAGACCTCCAAGCTTTCATGACAAGGCATTTCGAAAGCCGACACAGGTTTACCATATGCCGACGAGAGGGGTCCCAGACCAACAACAGGTTAGGTCCCAGACCATACTGTGCCAGGAAGCCCAGGGGTCCTCCCCGACACCACCCCGGCGAATCCACATGTCTCTCGGCATCAAGGCTCCCCTGATAAGCTAGTTACTCAGCCAGGGGTGTCCCATTCCACCCATGTGGTCGTACTTGTCTTATGTTTGGATGAAATTCCAAGGAAACGGTCCTTAGGTGCAAGAGCGGGAAACCGTACACCCGGTACGTTCCCCGGTCCGCGGTTTTGGAAATTCATTTAGTTCGCAAGCACCGACCCAGGTGTCGGGTTTTCCAAGTCTTTTGTAAAACCCAAGTTTTACCCAAGAGGTTTTTCAGATTTTAAGTTTGAAGGCGCCCGTCAATACTCGCACAGGGTGCACGAATATCGAGACGCGACTAGATGGTTACAAGGGGACACGATATAACAATTATCAAAGGAAGGATCAAATGCAACAAATTAGGTAGGTCCGCCAATCTGCCTTGCAGACGGGACAACAGATTAAGTGCGATCCTATCAATGCATAATATTTTTCAAGCAACATAATTAAATTTCAAATATAGGCTCAAGATGTTCAAAGGTGGCTTGCCTTGCTCGAGATCTAGAGCTTGATCCTCGAAATCCTCGCACTGCGGTTCTTCGGGCTCCGAAACTATACGCAAAACGGGACAACTCAACAAACGGCGAAAATAAAGCCCTATTAATGACCTCTAAGCGTGCCATTAGAGAGATCTCGAGATTTGAGGAATTTTGGAAGTTGAACGGAGTCAAACGGATTTACGGTTGGGAAGATATTGAATTTCTAAGATTACTGGATTTTTGGTCTAAAGGAAAAGGATTTAATTAAATCCTTTTTGAAAAAGAAAAGAAAAGAAAAGAAAAGAAAAGAAAAGAGGGAGGGAAATTAGACTTTTCCTCGGGCGGCTAGGGCGCGGCCTGAGAGAAAAGGGGCGGCTCGGCCGAGCTAAATGGGCCGGCCGGCCCAAGGCGGCCCAAGGCACGCGCGCGCGGGAGGGGAGGAGAGAGAGAGCCGGTGGACCGGGCTCACCACGCGCGGTCCCGGGTGGGACCCGCTTGTCGGTGACACGGTTCACCGTGCGGAGCGAGCACGCGGCGCACGCGCGCGGGCGGGGAGGGACGCGGTGTACGCACGCGGTTCGCGGTGGACGCGGATGCGGCGGGCCCACGCGCAGCCTCACGGCTCGCGGTGGAACGCGCGCACGGGGAGGGACTGACCGGGGTCGGCTCGACCCGGTCTTGGCCGAGCTGGCGCCGACGTGGCGCCTACGTGGCTGCCATGCGGGCCGGCGGGAGGTAGACGACGACGCCGGCCGGAACGGACGGCGGACGACAGCGGCGAGCGGCGGAGCGAACCACGGCGATACAGGCGGAAGCGAGCACACCGGGTGGTTGCACGAGACGAGGGGAGACGAGCCAACTGCTCGGATTCACCGGAGGGAGCTTGACGGCGGCGAATTGCGGTGGCGGCAACCGGCGGCGGGAGAAGGGGGAAACGGCGACGAGGTTACTAGGGGCCGATTCCCGGCGGCGAGAGCATCTACGCGGCTACGGGAATTCGATGCTAGCGTTGGATTAGGAGGAAACGCATCGAGGGAGGCCGGCGACGAGAGGCGCTTCCGAGCTCGGGCGGCGACGGCGGCGAGCACACGGTGAGTGACGGCAACGGTCAGGGCGGCGCCGGCTAGCTACGAGGAGGCTACTCAAGCTACTACCCGAGTCTAAGGGGAGGAGATGGAGCGAGGAGGGAGAACGGGGAGATGCACTACCGTGCGGGACGGGGCGCAGTGACGAGAGGCCGGCGGCGCGGGAGTAATCTCTCCGGCCTTGGGCCGGGGAAGAGGAAGGAGAGGGCGCGCCCGGAGTCCCCTTCCGCGTCCTTGCTCGTGCCGGCTCCTCCGAAACGCGCAACGACGAACGACGACGGCAAACAGAGCACGGGAGGCGGCGGCAATGGCGTGGAGGCGAGTGGGAGAGGAAGGGAAAGGGGGAGCTCGGGTTTATAGGATGGCAATGTCGGTTTGGGAACCGACTTAGGGCGGTCAAAGGAGAGGGCTGGCGCTCGGTGGTCGCGGCCAAAGCGGCGACAGGGAGGAGGGAGGAGGATGACGCCGGTGGGAGGAAAAAGGGAAAAGAGGGAGAGAAAAGGGGGCTTGCCCCCTTGCCTCTTCGCGAAAAGGAGGAGGGAGCGGGAGCGACGCGGCAGAGGGAGGAGGAGCTCTGCCTCCGTCCCTTGGAGGCTAGCACGCGGAGTGGCGGGGCCGGGCGATGACGACGGCGATGACGGCGGGGGCGGTGTGGAGCGGAGCGGCGACACGGGCGACAGGCGCGGGCAGGCGCGGCAGAGGCTGACGGCGGCAGCGACCAGGCGGTCGGCCAACACGGCACGCGCGCGCGGGATGCAACGGGAGGCGCGTCGGATTGAGCGGCGCGGCTCGGGCGCGCGCACTGGCTCGCGGGGCCGAGCGGCTGCGCGGCAGGGCAGCGGGGCCGGGCGGCGCAAACGGCGCAGGCGCGGCACGGGCGACGACCACGCGGGCGCGCGCGCACGCGAACAATGGCGCGCGGGCAGAGCGAGGGAGCGGAGAGGGAGGGCTCGACTCGGCGCAGCTCACGCGCTCGCGCGCGCGGCGCGCGGGCAGAGCGGCGAAGAGGGAGAGAGAGAGAGAGAGAGCGCCGGGGAGGGAGGGGGAGATGGGCCGAGAGAGATTCGGCCCATTGACCCCGGGGGAGGCAAAATAGACTTTTGCGGAGGGATTTGATTTGGAAGGATTTGGATTCGGAAATGAGCTCGACGATAGATCGGGGATTTGAGATCTGAGGTGGCACGGACACTAGACTACAAGAAAAGAAACAAATTTCGCAATTAGGGTTTTTAAGAGATAATTTTCCCGCTAGGCGCGACGACGGAACGGGCGCTACAACTATATTATGAGGATCTAATTTAATTCGGTTTTACAAGTTGGAGCTTAAAATTTCTGGTATTGTAATTTAGGAATGTCAATTAAACTCAATGTTTAGATGACAAACGACAAGTAGACTTAAGCTGCTCATTTACGCTGCTGCAATGAAGGCCCGAATTTCATCAAAGGGCCTCATAGACTGATCTTGGGTTCAATACAAAAGGCCCATGTGGAGACTGAAACCCAACGTAGCCGGAGGCGCACGCACGCCGTGGCCGGAGCTGCATGAGACGACTGGTGATCTGAATGAATGCCGGCTATTTAAGTCAACAAATCTGCTATTCAAGTCCACAAATTAACAACCTGTCATGCAAATGATCACCAAATCCGTAATTATGTCCAAAAACACACCTCGTATCACGGAAATCACCAAATATATGCTACTAGTACTATTCAAGTCCCAGCTGTAGATTTTGAACAGTAACTTAAATTCCACATTCGTCTTTGCCTCTCGCGGGTACCGAGCCCGACAAATAAAAGCAGAAGGAATTTAATCTTTCCTTTGTACCACTGTGCCGTCGACCTGCCAGCCACAGGTTGCAGCTGCCTATAAAATAGACAGACGGCAAGTTGTACACACATATCCAGGGGCGCGCACAGTGAAGGCCGCGGCCGCGCTGCTGTTCGATACACACAATCGGCGGCGACATGGCATTGGCAGCCAAGCTCCTCCCGTCCATCGTCGCGTTCGTGGCTCTCGCCTGCTGCGTCCTCCGCTCATCCGTCGCGTCCGTCGACCACCACCGGAAGCTCTCCGGCTGGTCCATCGGCGGCGCGACGTGGTATGGCCCTGCCAACGGCTCTGGAACCGATGGTACATCTACCTCACGGACTCGATCGATCATCACCAGAGGATGGACCATATATGCGAGCGGCCTGCAGGCTTAATTAGTACTGACGAGGCGTGCTGCATGTTGATGTAGGTGGCGCGTGTGGGTACCAGGGAGACGTCGGGCAGCCGCCTTTCAACTCCATGATCGCCGCCGGCAGCCCGTCCATCTATGAGTCCGGCAAGGGCTGCGGCTCTTGTTACCAGGTTCGATCGTTCAATTCGTCTCGCCAGCTGATATATCTTTTAATACTCTTTTGTTGCTTTCCAAGAATAAGACAGTCAACTCTAACGTTTACTCGTTTGTTTGCTACTCCTACTGCCAATTTGGGAATTAAATTCTGCAGGTGAAGTGCAGCGGCAACCCCTCTTGCTCCGGCAAGCCTGTGACCGTCGTCCTCACCGACCTGTGCCCCGGCGGCGCGTGCCTCGAAGAGCCCGTCCACTTCGACCTGAGCGGGACGGCGTTCGGCGCCATGGCAAAACCCGGCCAGGACGATCAGCTCCGCAACGCCGGCAAGCTCCCAGTCCAATACGCTAGGTAATCAAGATATCTATCTCTATCCATCTGTATATCTCTATCTAGATCAATCAATCCCATATATATCCTACAGCTATAGCTAGCAACAGTCGATCAAGTGTGCGTAGTATATCTCGCATTGTCACATGCATTTAAACGCATCCGGGACAATTTCTTTGGGCTGCTTGTCACGACGCACGCAAACCACGGGGCCCGTGCATGCATGGCAGCCGTCGTGAACCGGTCGACCAACTGTGTGATCTCTTCCTCTCGATCGTCCGTGATCGATCTACATGCATGCTACCGTGTGTGCAGGGTGCCGTGCAAATGGCAGGGGGTGGACATCGCGTTCCGGGTGGACGCCGGCTCCAACCAGTACTACCTCGCCGTGCTGGTCGAGGACGAGGACGGCGACGGCGACCTGTCGGCGGTGGACCTCATGCAGAGCGGCGGCAGCGGCGGCGGCGGATCTTGGGCGGCGATGCAGCAGTCGTGGGGCGCGGTGTGGAAGTACAACTCCGGGCCGGCGCCGCTGCAGGCGCCGATGTCCATCCGCCTCACGTCCGGCTCCGGCCGGACGCTCGTCGCCAGCAACGTCATCCCCGCCGGGTGGCAGCCCGGCGGCACGTACCGGTCCATCGTGAACTTCAGGAGGGAGGATTGATGAGATGATATGTAGGGGATATGTAGGGTGGTGGTCGCACGCGCGCGCATGCACGGTACAACGGCCGGCGGCGTACGTGGCGCTAGCTTAGTTTAATTATGCTTGGAGCTATGTATATCAGGGCACAAGTGGTTTGTGTGCGCCATTGTTGCGCGTGGAGTGATGGAGCTCTCTGTCAGCTCGATCGACTGTGGTAGAAGAATAAACAGATCCTTCAGCTAAGCTATTTGCCACAGTTGGGCACTTGGGCGTTGGCTCCGGTCCATGTACCGATCAGCCAGCGTGGTCCGGGGCTCCGGGCCGTCGCGGGGGATAACGCGACTTGTGCTGGCTTCCGCGGTTCCACCTACGCACTTCGTTCGGTGGAAAAAGTCCTTTTTATTTTTCTCAACTAAAGTTTTAGTTTGATTCGCATCCATGGACAGCAAAATCAGATAGAGAGGCTACCTTAACAATCAAAATTGACTCATTTTATCTTTTCGAGTGATTTAGGTAACGGTTTTTTCCTACATGACACATTGAACTAGAGAAATTTAAAATGATCTATGAAGGAAATCATGACGGCCATGGTGGCAGCGCCACGGCAATCGAGCTCGAGATAGGAGAAATGATGCCACGGGTGGATTGAGTGTCCAATGGCTGCGAGTATGATACACGTCGAATTATTGTCTTTGTTGGAGACCTCTAGAGAGCGAGCTCCGCCCCCTCCTAGCCGTTGGTCATCTCGACGCTTGAGCTCATCCCCCTCGCCATCAGCCAGCCTCCCCAACTCTTTCCTTCCCTTCATGCCGTAGTAGACTTCGAGGAGCGCTGCTGTAGGATTGAGCTTGACAAGAAGGCAGCGGGGTTATGGGACATGCGGATCTGAGCTCGCCGAGGTGGGGTGGCGAATTCGAGAGCCTCCCTTTTGTGCCGATGGTACATGGCATGATGTATCTTGAGGTGGGGACACGGCCAACGGTGACGGAGTGACACGTAGAGGTGTTGGTGACGCGACATGCCACAAGGATGCCACCAGCTGGGATGGCATGAGCTCACGATGTCGTTGCTTCCTCATGGGGGTTGAGGGGATATGGAAGAAGGGGAGGCAAAGAGATTGATATGGGAGATACCACATTGACTTTATTATTATTATTATTTGACAAGGATGTCATGTAGGATAAAATTACTGTTAAAAGCCTCTAGGATTGAACCAGTTTTAAGAGTTAAGAGGTGCTTTATATCTATTTTTTTTGGTTCGGGGACGAAAATTAGATTGGGCTTACTCTTGTGGGATGCAAAATAGACATTTTCCTTGTTTGGTGAACCGTGAGCCTTTGGAGCCTAGCGTTGCAACCGTGATGGCAGAGCCGGAGCCAACGCCCAACGGCCTACTGAGAAACTCTTCGCGAGCTTGGGCCACGCCCGCAGGTCTATGCAGTTGTACGGCTAAGCTACGCGTTTCCACGTCCACGTTGTGCCCGGCTAATTTCAGCCTGGAAAGCAGCCCGCTCACCGAGTCAGGTGGGTTCAGATGCGTGGTATTTTGGCCCAACCGTAGGCCTCTTTCATAGTCGCATCGAAGTATCAAGTATCGAACCCAACTTCTAGTTTAGTTTGTTGAGCAGATGACGAACTCCTTTTAATGGTATCAGTGAACAGGTAGTTTCAGGAATCAACAGAGGTAGCTGCAGCGTTAGCTCTGTACCGTGTTGTACAGGGCGGCAGTTGCTGCCTGCATGTGGTGTTGAGGTCATGAGGACCTTCTGCTTCTCACTGATTGTGTTTCATCAAGAGAAAAAAAGGTATCAGTTCCCACCTTGATTAATTGAGTGTGATGAAAGTCTCTCTTTAGAGGAAAATGGACAGCACATTTGAAGGTGGGCCTCTAGGAAATGGACAGCACAGTGGTGGCCTTGGTTGGTGCTTTACAAATGCTCTGCTGGGCGCGCGCCTGGGCCTTGTGAGGCTTTTGTGGCTTGGCAATAGTACACTTGCCTCCCTAAACTGTTTTACCGAAGCAATCAACTGCAACGACCTCCAACTACTAAAGCAGGTTCACTTTCACCTCTAGAAATATTTTTGTTTCCCTAAATACTGGTTGCGATTTCACCTTGACTTTTTTAGGGTAATATATTGCACCATATACAGTGGAGAACACAACTTTAAAATATAGATGGGGCGAAGAACGGAGATGTTCACTCGATAAGAGCAATCGAACACAACAGATGTGGTAGTTATAGTTCAATTGCATAATTACCTCGATCATTATTTGTGGCCTGCATGTGTTGTGAAGAGACAAACTAATTATTAGATGTTCACACCTTATTATATCTAATTTTGATGGCCTATAACTACTATAAGGGGTAGTGGGTCTTGGAGGTGTGGGGTGATACGGGTAGTAGCTGGGACGGTCGACCCACTCTGACTAATGGGTAAATCCACCCCTGATCATATACTAGGTGTGTTTGGTAATTTTTGGGAAGGGGAGATAGAGTTTAGAGAGGGGAGTTGATGATGTGATTGATCATATGTGTTTGCTATTTTACTCTAAGTCTCTTGTTTGCCGAAACAAACTTTGGTCGTTGATAGTTTTTTTTATGGAAATTGTATTTTAAGTGACGATGGACGTCTTAAAACTTAACTAGCTTCGCTCATGAGGGAATCTCCTCTCAATTTTCACTCATTATAAGTGAGAATCACCTATAAGCATTTGATATCCCTAAAGAAAAGGTATGCTCCCTCTCTTTCAATATAAATGCAACTTAGCATAGACATGACATATCTCAGAAATACGAATCTAGACAGTATTGGGACAAAGGGAGGAGGAGGGAGTATTGTCTATAAGCATGCGGACATGGGCTTTGAGCCTTTGAACAAGGGACAAATTTCTGATATCAAAATGCATTATATGTACACACCAATAAAGGATGGTGTTTGGAATTTTCCTCTATATCCAGAGCAGGTGCCATATTGGAATAAGCCAAATCCCCCTTGCAAAAAAAAGGACTAACCTAAAATCCATGTATCTCGTGCGTGGAAAATAGATTCCTAGATGCCAAAACCATTCTCTATTATTAAACCCCCCACAACAATCAAAACACCAAACGGGAATCATGATCAACTTGCGAGGTCAACACACCCAATGATCCATCTCAGGAAAATAAAGAATTTAGAGCAAAAAAACAAAGAAAGCGTCGGCAGAGGCAGCAGCTTTATCACAAATATGCATGTACTACGTATATCAGCTATCTTATCGCCATTCGCCAATAATAATCTCGTTCGTTATTCCCGTATTTCCCCTCGTTGTTTTCTCGGGGAAACAGGCGTCGTGCGCGCGTGGGACGTGGGCGCCATCTGCAGCACCCACCCACCAGCAGGAAGTCGTCCACCGGCGTGGAACGCTCCAGGTTTCGGCTGGGCGACGCACGCCGCGGAGCCAAAAAAACCAACGCGCGCGCCGCGCGCCTGCTGGGGAGTACGGCGGCAAGGCGTGAGACCACGCGCGGGGCGATGAGAACTTTCGGCCCGGGTTTCGGCTGCCGCGCGCGGCGACGAACGGGCGAGTTTAGCCGGTAGAGCCTGACCCCTGTCGGTGGACGGTGGTGAGGCACCGGGTACACGTGCCGGCGCCAGCGCCAAGATCGGCGGGGAGCTACTACCCCTGATTATTCCTCGATTCACGGCTTGGACATGGGCTTTGTCAACCGTCAACAAGTGATGACTCATGATCACTGGCCTTTTTTGAGCTTCTAGTAAATTAAAAAGGCTCACTGAGGCGTGCGTAACAGCGACAGTGCACCGTGATTTATAGCTTTGGCTACTGTGGACGCGTGTGATTTAGATAGACCGACTTGCGGCGATGTTTGGATCCCATGTGCAATTGGTCCGGCATTCGTATTAAGAACTTCAGTACAGTAGTAAGTTCAGTAGCGTCTAGGAATGCGAGCACCATAGCGCTTCACTTTCTGCCAAAAACACACTACTCCAGATTTTAGGGAGAAACGATCAGATAATATATGCCGATGGACGTCGGTGGCCGGGTTCGAGTCCGGGGCCGATTAAATCAACTGCAACTAACGTGCTTCCGAGTCAGAGATTACGGACGGAGGAGAAGTACTACTAATCAGCGTGCTCCGACACGATCGAACTGAAGAAAAGAAGAGAGAACGCAGAGGAGCCCCATGTGCCACTGCTTAAACAAGCAGGCGCCCCTACATACACGTGTCTCGGATCGGACACCAACTGACAACCCCACGGCTAGCTCCACGAGGCACACGATCCTGCCCGTCTACTCGTCAGAGACTAGTAACGTGGGCCCCACGCCAACGGTCAACTAATTAACGGCCGGTTCGGTTTTCTTTACTGTGTTTGCCACTTGCTCCTGCGTGTGTTCCTCCCTTATTTTAGCAGAAAGATCACCTGCTCCAGTAGGATAAAAAGAAGAGGTTCGATTAGACCCTAGACAGGCATGATTGATGATTCCAACCTTGTTTGCCAATAAAAAAACTGCGTGATTGCATAAAAGCTAGTAGCCAATTTAATTTCTTGGATAAATTGAACAGTTTAGTTTGTTTAAAACCATTGAAAAAAAATCAATAATTCCTAGTTTCGGTCACTATGTGTTTCCAAATATCAAAAGATAGAGATAGCCATTTAGGACGATGCTAGAAAAATTGATAGCCTAAGAACAAATCAATGTATTTTAGTTAGACATAATTTTCTCTCTCACAAAATATTCATATAATTTTAAAGGATTTGAAGGGGATTTTTGGAGTCAGCCTAGGACTAAGCCCTAATTTCCCTAGCTTGTAGCTCCACCCTTAGAGATCACCAAGGAAGATGTCGTTGCCTTTTCACATCCTGCATTTCAGTGTCCTCGCTAGTGTTGAAGTAAAGAAGACATGGTTTTCATGTTGCTAAGGGCTGATTTAGTTTGAAGACAAAACTTGCCATACCAAAATATTGGCATTTTAAACGTAATTTTGTTAATGTTTAGTTTGCTACGAATACTTGTCAATACCACACAAATGTTGCCAAAATATTGGCATTGGCAAAAAACTTCCACATGATTTGGCATTGCCAATAGTTTGGTATGGTTGCAAACTAAACAAGCCCTAAATCTCTATCAGTGTCTACCGTATTCTTAAGGTACTCAATGAAGACTTACGAAGTATTTTCTATCAAGTTATTCATGATAATTAGCGGTGATGACCGATCAGTAGTATTTGGTAGTTAGTACAAGTCACTAATTTGTTGTGTGATATTGGTATACGTGATGAAAAGTTAAGAGGAACGATGATGGTGGCAATGCTCGTTTTTTATTAATATTATAAGTGCGGGAGTTGATTAATATCGTGTTTACGCTCGTCTATTTATATCTCTTATGGTATGGTGTTTTAGAATATAGAGTTCTTTTCTATTTCGATAGATCTTTCATATTTCTTAGTTGTAGGAATAGAGTTGTTATTACTTCTCTTGTTGTATATATAGGCCCCGTTCGTTTCCTCTGAAAAGAATGGATAAAGTTTTGGATTTTCGTGGCACGTTTTTCAAACTGCTAAACGGTGCGTTTCGTGCGAAAATTTTCTATATGAAAGTTGTTCTAAAATATCATATTAATTTATTTTCAAGTTTGTAATAATTAAAACTCAATTAATCACACGTTATTACTACCTCGTTTTGCGTGAAACACTTGTTTAGGAGATTCAAACACCATCATAATCTATCATAGTGGAAAAAGTAAAAAAAAATAATCAAAGTTTGTAACGACTAAATACGAACAGGAGCAATTGAAACGAGCTACTGCAACTGCCGCCTTTTCTGTAAGAATACCGCAACTGCTGTCGTCTTCCGTTTAGCAACAACCGTTTTAATTCAAATTTACCTTTTTCCGAGAACAGCTCGAAAGCACATAGCGTATCGGCGGTTGCTTGATACTCACAAAGTCACAAGTACAGCCACATTTCGGCTACAGAATCTGATCCAAAGGCAGATACAGAGCGTATGCACGTATGCGTGCATGTGGCTGTGGGGTCGCCTCAACTACTAAGAAATCGAAAGGTGTGGATGATTAGAGCTCTCTCCATTATTACAGGATTAGCTATTTCATCCACTAATTAATTGCTCTTATTTGACGCGCACACGTAGAAGTTCAGAAGGTCAGAATACAATTAGTTTCTGAACATCTCTTGTTCTTCTGAAGTCTGAACTGTACTGCTCATGCGTGCACATAATGCAGCTTCTTCCCCCAAACACCTCAAAAGCTCTGTTTAACTATGCAGCACGATATATATGATTATGCTCTTTGCCACGAAAAGGGGTGCGTCGCATCGACCGGTCACATGGCACAGGACGACAGGGATCAAATTATTCGGCAAATGGCGGCAGTGCAAAGCTCAAAACGCAGCAATCCGAAAAAACATTCTCCTGTGCAGGCTGGCACAGGAATGGATGAATGATCGATCGTTGCATTTTGGGGGTCACATCGCTCGTGCATGACAGGTAAGGTGTGGTGGTAAGGCCGGCCATCCTGCATGATCAGCAGAGAGAGAGAGAGAGAGAGAGAGAGAGAGAGAGAGAGAGAGAGAGAGAGAGAGAGAGAGAGAGAGAGAGAGAGAGAGCTAAAGATTGATGAACATTTGGGAAAGGAATGGATTCGAAGATGATGTTCAGTAGACAGTAAACCAATTGTTAAATCGTGTGCGTTTGAGAAAGGTTTGGGCCAGAGATGTTCGCCAATTCTTGGTTTTTTTTTATGCGTGCTATCCTAACCGCCGAGGGCAACTACCTCGTGAGATTTCGTTTTCTTTATCATGATTTGGGCGTTGGAGAACGTGATCACCTACATTATCAAAGAGGATGGCCTCTGACTCCTTCCATTTTGTGTTATACTACTAACCGGTAGCAACAATATGATCATGCATATGGGATTATCCTATCGCCCAAAAGAAAATCATGAGACCGATCGACCGATCAATCCTCCCCAAATTCGTCCTCAAATCGCGTGTGATTTACTTCATTGTTGTTTTGTTTACTTCGCTTTTTTGTTTTTAAAACTAAAGCTTGATCTGACATTGATGACATTAGTGATCTCCGGGGCCGTAAATAAATAAACTCGGAGATTCAACTCATGATACACCTGAACTATTAGCAGTTAGCTTCCTGACTTCTAGCACTTCCATCATTTGAGTTTGTTTACTTAAGTCTTTGTGTAGAGGTCTTGCACAAATTGCCATCACTCTCACTCTTAACTTTTTTTATTTTTTTAGAAAAGTTTTAAAATAAATAAAGTCAACAAAGTAATTATATAATCTCCAAATGCACCCCTGAAAGATTCTTACATAATTCTTACAAACAAACTCTTAATTGTTGGATGTAATTATATGGGAGTTAAATTAAATCTAGATTTTAGTCGATGTATAGAGATCACATCATTGTTTGTAAGGTTTTTGTAAGAAAAAACATTGTACATATAGCCTTTTCCTTACATATAATTTTGTTAATATTATGTACGCATTCCTTAATTAGAAATTAACATATGTACATAAAACAACAACTTTAGGATACTATCCCTAATACCCTATAACAATTTTATTTTATTCATTTATTCACATTTGACAACTAGAATTATACCAGTGGGTAAAGACCAATGATATAATAGCTATTAGGAGCTCCGATAAATTGAAACATTAGGATCGCTATATACATCATAATTGAAAAGTTAATGAAAAATTCTTCCTTGGTTTTGGGCCAAATACTATTCATTCCTTCCTTTCTAGCCCCAACCTAGTACACTACCACCCTTCGCTCGGTCTGTCTCTTTTCGATCCAGCAGGCCCAACTTGCACAACCGGCTAATAAATATATTTAATGTAATTGTGCTGCGTGTGCGTGTGGTGGATCGAATCAGAAAAAAAAAATCAGAAGCCTAAAAAAACTGGACGGACAGAAAAACCCCGAAAACTTTATGTATCTTTTAATTAGTTATATTATAGATGTAAGAAATGGTTATCTTTCATGCAGCTTGTGTAATGACTTGTATCTCTTTCATGAGAGATGACTCCTCATATTTCTCTTACATCTCGTCATTTGAATCAACATGGCAGTCTTGGAACTAATACTTACTCGCCACTCCATCGTGGGCACTTAATTAGCCAAAATGACCACTTTTAAAATAAGTTTTAGATGCATTTTTTTTCTAAAAAAAGTTTTAGAAATGGAAATTTGCCTGCATACCTTGAGATTTGGGATAGCTTAAGTCCCTGGCAAACGCAGGAAATTTAACCAAAAAACAATATCATGCCAACTTCGGGAGCAACGTACTACTGTACATAGATCAATTCTTTACTTATGAATGGTATATATAAAATTGAACTAGGCGAGATGCATGGTTTCAGATTTGACTGTTCTTGAAACCGATCAGACTTGACTGTTAGTTGTGAAGTTTTCCCTGTGTTCCAATTACAAGTAGACACTAGCTAATCTAATACTAACAGTAGCATCCCTCTTGGTTGTTCTGTAGTGTACTGAAAACTAATACAACAATGCTACTAGTGCCTGATAAGTTGATCTTCGAACAATGTGCGCTTATAGCAGGTACATACTCTGAGATTGAATTTCTCAACTTGTGTTATCCCAATTGTACTTCACCAATCCACTTCCTTACAAGAAATTCAGCTCGCCTTATTTTGTAGGTACTGGATACTGATCGAAAATCAACAACAGTTCGTTTAGCCTTTTTCCCTACACCAACTTGTCACGTTCTCACCAATAATTCTCGACCGGCAGAATCCCTAAATTTCTTGCCACGTACGTCTGCATCCCTCCAAAAATTCCCTATAAATACCCCTTCTCGGCCACTCCCTGCAACTCACCCAAGAACACACTCGAGCTGAGCACGTCTAGCTAGCTATATCTCTCAACATCTTCCGAGCTACTACTAGTAGCTAGCTAGCTAGAGGAAGCAGCAGCAATGGCGAAATCTTGCACCTTGGTACTACTACTTGTCGCACTGGTCGGGCTCTCACTTCTTGTGAGCCCCATTGCTTGCTCCCGCAAGCTCAGCAAGCCGAAACCCAAGCCGAAGCCGAGCATGAAGAAGCCGGTGGTCCGGGCTCACAACAACTACACCGGTAGCCCGTCGGTGACGGTCACCACCGGCTGGGCCGCCGCCGGCGCCACGTACTACGGCGCCCCCAACGGCGACGGCAGCGACGGTTAGTGCTCGCTTGCTTTCGCTTTCGAGCTTACAGTACTTGCATTGCACGGCATTGGTCGAGCTGGAACTGAAATTAAAATGGAATCGGGGGAAAACTTGCAGGCGGCGCTTGCGGCTACCAGACCGCCGTCGGGCAGCGGCCGTTCTCGTCGATGATCGCCGCCGGGAGCCCGTCGCTGTACAAGGGAGGCAAGGGGTGCGGCGCGTGCTATGAGGTCAGCACACACACACGACACTGACACATGTACACACAGCAGTGTGTGGTCACACGGGCGAGCTAGCTATTACTGCTGCGAGAGCTTTCGTGTAGCTCCATTAATGGCGGAAAGTGGTCGGCTGATCCCAACTCAATGCGTTCATGTGGCCGTGTACGCAGGTTAAATGCACGACCAACGCAGCTTGCTCCGGCCAGCCAGCCACCGTCGTCATCACCGACGAGTGCCCCGGGGGCATCTGCCTCGCCGGCGCCGCGCACTTCGACATGAGCGGCACTTCCATGGGCGCCATGGCCAAGCCCGGCATGGCCGACAAGCTCCGCGCCGCCGGTATCCTCCAGGTCCAGTACAGAAGGTATATGCACATTCGCATCAGTGCAGAATCACGAATCAATGGCGCCGGCAAGCTGTAGTATAATTAGCTAACCTTGGTGCTTAATTCCGTTAATCTCTCGTAGGGTGCCATGCAAGTACAGCGGCGTGAACATCGCGTTCAGGGTTGACCAGGGGGCAAACCCGTTCTACTTCGAGGTGCTCATCGAGTTCGAGGACGGCGACGGCGACCTCAACGCCGTCGACCTGATGGAGGCCGGCTGCGGCTGGACGCCGATGGTGCAGAACTGGGGCGCGCTCTGGCGGTACAACTCCAACACCGGCAAGGCCCTGAAGGCGCCATTCTCGCTCCGCCTCACCTCCGACTCCGGCAAGGTGCTCGTCGCAAACAACGTCATCCCGGCGAGCTGGAAGCCCGGCGTGACGTACCGCTCCCTGGTGAACTACTCCTAAATTAATTACAGCTCTCTCCACATCTCCTGCAAGAAGCTGCAGTGCAGAGTTGCGGTAAATTGGTAATTACAGATTTATAATTAGCCTCGGGTTAATTATATGGCGGGAAATGTGCGTCCGGGTGTTGCGAGAGGCGGTGTCAGAAGAGGAGGAAAGGAGGTTTAAGAATCGTGTTCTTCCCTCCACGGTCTCTGCATTCCCCTAGTGATGTGACTGTGTCGTCGTCGATTTGTCTGTAAAATTTTATTTTTCTTAGTTATATCTTCCTCTGTTATTGTCATGTTGAGGGAGAAGCTTGAGCTGCAACTAATGTTGCATGCCGATGTATCAAGTTTGTGTGTGTGTGTTTTTTTTGTACCACGCAAATCTTTCAGATAAATGGATTAGTACTGTCAGAAGATTTCTGTACTTCACTGGAACTCATGCATTGTTGTCGTTCTGTCTCAAGTTCAATTCTCGCTTTTAGGCTGTGTTTGGTTCCTTTCAAGGTTGGAAGTTTGGATTGAAATTGGTACGATATTACTGAAAAGTTGTGTGTGTATGATTGGTTGATGTGATGAAAAAAGTTGAAAGTTTGTATCCAAAGTTTGGATCTAAACACAGCCTTACTGAGCAGGGTCTGTGATCTCTGAAGTACTGCTCCCTCCGTCCAAAAAAAACTCAATCCTAGATTTGAAACTGAACACATTGGTTTTTTTTTTTAACGGAGGGAGTATGTCCTAGTTGCAGTTCGAATCCCTGAACAATCAACCAGTAATTTGAACTGGAGTAGCACAAGATAGATGCTGTACAAAGAAAATACTGGACGTGCATTTTGGTGTAAATCATCAGCGCGCTGTTTCTGTGTCCTCCTTTTTTTCTTTTCGCTGAAACCTAATACTCCCAAACAGCATAAACTCCAATGCTGCATTATCCGCCCGCACATTGCAAAGTACTACTGTAGTATAAGTTGTGCTATAAATTTTGCTCTCCTGTTATGCTGGGTTCCTGCCGACGAAGACACATGCAGTTCTCATCGAAAGTAGACAAAAGTGCAGAGTCTTGAATGTTACACACACTGATTGTACTCAATTATTAGTAGTTTAAGACACGAACTGGTTTTCAATGGAATTATTAATGCATGGAGTACACTTGTGCTCCTCTACATACCGGAGCTTCGCTTGTCCTCGGCATTATGAACTGGAAACTGAGAAAAGTCGTCTAGTTTGTCATGTGGGTCTGACAAATGAAGATTATATATACCAGGAGCGACGACCATGGATTTCGATTCAGAAAGTTTTTTTTTCTAAAAAAAACTCTGCCTATTTCTGCACGAGTGTGCAGATTAATATTGTACAGTACCCGCCGTCATATGGATACAGATTTTTATTTTACCACTTAGTTTATGTCATTTGATCTACTTAATTCCACTAGCATTCAATTTCTTATTTGAAACGTGCCGCTGGTTGCATGGATTAAAAATAAATCTCAAAATTCAACTAGCAACCAATTGCCTGCCCCAGATTTACCGGAAAGGGATACCCACATGTTAGTGCTCAACTGCACATCCAGTTTTACCATGATCTCTACGTAGTAGAAATTACTTTAAACCATTATCTTTTTTTTTCTGATACAATGAAACGTATATTTGGTACTAGCATCTTGACTTTTTGGTTGTAGAATATCTTTTTCCACAAGCACTGATAATAGAACTAATAAATCAATAATTGAGTTTGCTTTTAATCGTGACAATATTAGTAGAGAACACCGTAAAAATAAGTATGTAAAAAATAGATAAATTTCGATAACATACGTGTGTCGTGGATATGGATTTTCATACCTTGATGGGATCTCCACCCGTTACTTGTATGTCACCTAAATATTTATCAAAAAATTGAAAAACATTGATAACATATGTTAATATGAAATATATCAGTGCACAAACATACAATACCAAATTTGACTTCTACAAGTTAAAGCAAAAAAAAAAAGGTTTAACCAAAAATAGTTATCATACATTCGCAGCTATATTTGTTATTTTTCTTACATCTTACAGAAATTGAATTGTAATATATTTAATATTAATCTATCTTGTCAATTTATTTTAAATCTGTAATGACTATTTAAATAGCATTTACGGAACTAGAGGATATCACCTATCCTCTTGAAGAATAAATACACTTTCCCGTGTGTTGTTGGTATATTTCTGCTCGCAGAATGCAAACCACATCCGATGCTAACAACCAATCACGGCCTAACAAACTAGTAGTGCGGAGTACGTGCCAACATTTTGATATGGCATAGTCTCAGCCAGCAAGCAAAAAATCTGCGCTTGTCTCCTTTTTCTCGTTTTAATGCATCACATGGCAGAAAGTGACCGTGCGTAAATCATTCATAACTAGGAGTAGGCTATTTCAAGACCTTCAATTGCTCACAGTACAACGATCTAGCGGCGGTGATACGAAAGAGACCACCATCTATGGCACATAGCTCTCTTTCCCAAGAAGAAGAACATGCTGCAGACCTGACCTGCAACCTGCATTCAGGTGCGGCTCGCGCGAGTGGTCGATGTCAAAAGACGCTACCTAGTCACTGTCAGGATCCATCGCGATCCTCCATGGCTGCGCTCCATGTGCCCGCCAAGCGCACACGACAACGATCTGGATGAAAATAATAATCGCTCTCGAAACGGCACAGTGTACGAGCGGAAAACCGATCGAGAGCTCCCCCATGCTCTGACCGCTCGCATGTTCCGCTCCCCCGTTCTGTCTCCCTTCCCCTCCCCCCTGCTAATAATCTCGGCGTCGATGGATCGATCGGTTGGTCTGTGCGTTTCACAGTCCGTGTAGCCGCCTCCGGCCACCACCACCATCACCAACCAACCAACCAAACAACCGAGCGAGCGATCGTGCAGGCGGCGTAGCGTGAGGTGAGGTGAGCAGCGCGCGCGCGCGCGCGCGCGTTCCCCACCGTGTCAGTCGCGGGCGCATGTGGAGAGATTCTCCGGTGACGGGAGGGTGAAAGACTGAAAGCAACGGGCGCACATGGCGGTGGTGCTGTGCATGCATGCGACGCGCGCGCGACCCCGCCCGCGGCCACGGTTCGGCTGATTTTGTTGGGTATTCGCCCCTATTCGACCGAGGGGTGGTCAAAACTCAAAACCCCGCGAACATGTTAATTGGCAGCATCGAAATTTCTAATCTGTCCTGTCCTTCCATACATCTACCCTGGATTCGGATCAGGCCACTTTGGCAGTACCCAATCATCCAGCCATCCAGCACACGAGAGATGGCCCAGATTTAACCGTGTCATACATCATTTTAGCTATTTGAACAAGCATAGAACAGTTTCAGTTCAGATTTTGCCTGCAATTTCTCTCCCTTTGATCTGAATTTTCTTGAACTTTAAGACAACCCAAATATTGTTAAAGAAAAGTAGACACATACTTCATTTCATTATATTGAACTTCATAATATCTTGCACGCATAATTGACAAAATGAGCTAGAGTTTAAGCCCTTGTTTAGTTTCCAAAATATTTTTTCCAAAAACGTCACATCGAATCTTTGGAAACATGTATGACGTATTAAATATAGATAAATAAAAAAAAGTAATTGCACAGTTTACATAGAAATTGCGAGACGAATCTTTTGAGCTTATCTTTGATCTTATTTTTCTATTATAATATATAAAATAAATAAATGTATATTTACTTTTATTATGGTGTTTTGAAAGACAAATTTATATATGTTGTCCTTTAAACTAAATATTTTTAAAATTATTGATGGTCAAAGTTATAAAAGTTTGGCCTCAACCTTATCTAAAACGTCAAATAATATGGAACCGGATGGAGTACATGATAGCTATAAGTGATACAGTAACCCATATGTGCTAATCACGGATTAATTAGGCTTAATAAATTCGTCTCACGGTTTCCAGGTGAGTTATGAAATTAGTTTTTTCATTCGTGTCCGAAAACCCCTTCCGACATATGGTCAAACGCTCGATGTGACACTCAAAAAATTTCTTTTCGTGAACTAAACACACCCTAACTATTTTCGCTTAAATTGGGTGTCATGCATCCACTGACACAAAAGCTTTCAAAATCAACTAGCTATGCTACTGCTAGATTAACCCAGTTACAAAAATTTTCATGATCCAAAAGTAGATCATCATTTGCTTCCAAAATCAGTACGATGCCTTCTAAGTTCTATTGACCTCTTCAAATGAACTTTTAAGATAAGATGACATCTTCAATATTAATAGAACCCTAGGGAAAAAAAGATAATATCCAAATTAATTGCGTGTGATGTGCAGCAGTAGGAGGTAAAGTATGCTTCCCATGGTAGAATTGGCGCCAATTTTTACTTCCCTCTCAGACTTTTCCCTCCAAAACACATCTGCTCGAGTCAGAGAGTAGTTGAATAGCTGGGGGAAATTAAGCAACGAATCTAGACCATCCCTTGTATGCTGGATGGTTAGATGATGGATACTGCTAAAGTTACATGATCCGAATCCATCTACCCCTGGCTTCTCATTTCACACGGCAAATGAAAACAGTATATATTATTGTCCTGTGCGTGCAGCGTGCGTACGTGTCTCACTCTTGTTGGTGTTTATTTACCGGCGTCCGTCGCCCTGGTCCCGACGTAGTACGTGGTGTTATGTTAACAGGCGGCCGAATGTCGGGGGTGATTCGTCCCCTAACCTGCCACTGACAAACAACATGGCAGTAGAATCGCAGCAGGTACACTGGTACTGGTTACAGCAACAGTTTTTTTTTTAACAAGGCTTTCCAGTTTCCACATGCGTGTGTAACTTCTTTGTAACATCCAGTGTGAGTGCCGGCGCGTCTTTACATACATATACATACATTATACATGCACATACGTACATATACGTGTCGTGAATGGGCAGGATCTCTTAGGGTGTGTTTGAGGAGAAGGGAATTGAGGAGATTGGGGAGTTACGCAAAATGATGTGAGCCATTAGCTCATGATTAATTGAGTATTAACTATTTTAAATTTTAAAAATGGATTAATATAATAAAGCAATTTTCATATAAAATTTTTTTTATAAAAATGCACCGTTTAGTAGTTTAAAAATCGTGCACGCGGAAAACGAGAATCAATCTCCCCTATCTCCCGAGACGAACAGAGCCTTAATTTACTCATGCTGCTGCTGCTGCGTGTGCTGCTGGTGTACTTGGCCCAACGCCGACGGTTGCAACTGTGCGTAGGAGTGGTGTGGAGTGGAATGAGTGGCTTGGAGTGGATTGATGCGATGGCGGGGCACCCGGGGGACCGTCGAATGCATAACTGTAACAACAGTTGAGAGCCTATGGCTACCGAACTTTTTTAATGGATCGGCGTCGCTCCTTTTGGGTTTATTTTGGACCTTGGCCGGCCGGCCTGGGCCTACCGTTTTGCGGTGCCCCCATGT